GCTGTGTGTGTGTGTGTGTGTGTGTGTGTGTGTGTGTGTGTGTGTGTGTGTGTTTCTCCTTAAACAGCCTATAGCCCTGTCTGCCCTGTCGGTTCCCCTGGGTATTGTGTATATTGTTATCCTATTTTCCCTGGTTCTTCTGTCCTCAGAGTCGTTAGATTCATGTCCAGATCCATTCGTAGACTTTCCTTACTCTCATCTCTTCTTACTCTCATCTGTTTTACGTCATCAGCAGGCAGGGATATATTTGAATTAATTCCACCTGGAACGTCATTCATATAAGCCAGAAACAGAACTGGTCCTAATACCGATCCTTACCGAACCCCGCCTCTGTACTATCTCTCAGAATCCATGGTGATAGCTTCTCAGGTCTCATTGCATTTGATGTATCCAGGTCCATCAAAAGGTTCTTTACCTTCTCTTCTGTCGTGTGGATGACATCCAGTACTTGTCGGTGCCTCCTGTTGTTTAGCCTCTCTGGTCATGTTTCAGTTTCCACTGAGAAGGCCTCCTCAAATCAGTACTTCACAGACTGCCTTGTTATTATTAGTGAGTTTTCTTCCTTCCTTCGTCAGTCGAATTACCTGGTTCTATACTGTCATCTTTCCTCTAATGTGGCTCTTGAGGTAGTTTCGGTTCAAACCTGGAATTTGTTGCTAAGTCATGCTCAAATTGCCTTAGCCTCTCTCCTCACTATAGCATATTCGTGTCTGGCCAACCTTTTACACTTTTGTTTGCCTTCCTGCGTCTCTGCTGAGTCAAGCGCTCTCTCTGTCTTTGTTCTTTCTGCATCTTTCTTCAATGTGCTCTGTAACATCCACTTCATTGTCCTAATCCACTACATTCAAGAAATCGCTCAGCCCCTCAAAATTCCCAGTTTTAAAGTCTGGCTTCTGACTCCCTTCACCTACCAGGTACGCCAAGTTCAGGTCTGTGTGATGACCAGCATCCAGAGGTCTCGTATTCCATTTGACCTATGCCTGATGTACGTAAAGTGAAGACTAGGTCCAGTCTCACTGATTATCTCTCTCTCTTGTTAAATTCTTAACATGGTGACTCGAAAAGTTTTCTCTAATCACCTCTATCAGCTTAGCCCTCCTCGTTTCCGGTCCCCATGCAGGTCCCATTTCTCCCAACCTCCCTATGGCTGAAATCTCCCAGTATAAGCTGCTTCACTTTAGCCCTAAATAGACTTCTGGCTGCTGCTGCTATCATGTCGACCATTGACACTGGTGTTGTCCTCGTATCTATGCCGCGGTCTCTTGTTACGTGTAGGTTGTATATCACTCAAACTGCTACTGCTTTGGGTACCCCCATTCTTAAGTGAGAAGCCCTGGACAACCCCTTGACTCCTCTAGTCCACAGTTGTCCAGCCGCAGGTGAGTGGAGCCTTAGCAGGGGGTAATTGGAGCCTCAGGCAGGCGTGAGTGAAGCCTCAGCCAAGGGTGAGTGGATCCGCAGCCGGGGGTGAATGGAGCCTCAGCCAGGGGTGAATGGAGCCTCAGCCAGGGGTGAATGGAGCCTCAGCCAGGGGTGAATGGAGCCTCAGCTAGGGGTGAGTGGAGTCTCAGCCAGGGAAGAGTGGAGCCTCAGCCTGGGGTGAGTGGAGTCTCAGCAAGGGTGAGTGGAGCCTCAGCCGGGGATGTGTGGAGCCTCAGCCAGGGGTGAATGGAGCCTCAGCCAGGGGTGAGTGAAGCCTCAGCCATGGGCGAATGGAGCCTGACCTAGGGATCAGTGAAGCCTCAGCCAGAGGTGAGTGGAACATCAACCAGGGGTGAGTGAAGCCTCAGCCAAGGGTGAGTGGAGCCTCAGCCAGGGGTGAGTGAAGCCTCAGCCAGGGGTGAGTGAAGCCTCAGCCAGAGGTGAGTGGAGCCTTAACCAGGGGTGAGTGGAACCTCAGTCAGGGATGAGTGAGGCCTCAGCCAAGGGTGAGTGGAGCCTCAGCCAGGGGTGAGTGAAGCCTCAGCCAGAGGTGAGTGAAGCCTCAGCCAGGGGCAAGTGAAGCCTCAGCCAGGGATGAATGGAGCCTCAGCTAGAGATGAGTGGAGCCTCAGCCAGAGATGAGTGGAGCCTCAGCCAGGGGTGAGTGAAGCCTCAGCCAGGGATGAGTGGAGCCTCAGCCAGGGATGAGTGGAGCCTCAGCCAGGGATGAGTGGAGCCTCAGCCAGGGGTGAGTGGAGCCTCAGCCAGGGGTGAGTGAAGCCTCAGCCAGGGGTGAGTGAAGCCTCAGCCAGAGGTGAGTGGAGCCTTAACCAGGGGTGAGTGAAGCCCCAGCCAGGGGTGAGTGGAGCCTCAGCCAGGGGTGAGTGGAGCCTCAGCCAGGGGTGAGTGAAGCCTCAGCCAGGGGTGAGTGAAGCCTCAACCAGGGGTGAGTGAAGCCTCAGCCAGGGGTGAGTGGAGCCTCAGCCAGGGGTGAGTGGAGCCTCAGCCAGGGGTGAGTGAAGCCTCAGCCAGGGGTGAGTGGAGCCTCAGCCAGGGGTGAGTGAAGCCTCAGCCAGAG